CACACGCACCGTCACACTCTCTGCACACACACGCACTGTCACAGACTCTCTGCACACACACACACACACACCGTCACAGACTCTCTGCACACACACCGTCACAGACTCTCTGCACACGCACCGTCACACTCTCTGCACACACACACACCGTCACAGACTCTCTGCACACACACACACACCGCTGCACTCTTTACAGGGAGGAGCAGCGGAGCTGGAGCTCCTGATTTCATTTTAAAGTAAAGTCAACACATCGACCCGAAATATAATCTATATTAAGAACGAGGAAAGTTTTAATATATATCGTTTTTTTTGTAAACATGTGACAAATGAGCGATGGTGATGACGTCAGAGCATCGTCCTATGTGCTGAGCCCCGGCCCAATTTCGTGTGTGTGGTGTGTGTGTGTGTGTGTGTGGTGTGTGTGTGTGGTGTGTGTGTGTGTGGTGTGTGTGTGTGTGTGTGTGTGTGTGTGTGTGTGTGTGTGTGTGTGTGTGTGTGTGTGTGTGTGTGTGTGTGTGTGTGTGTGTGTGTGTGTGTGTGTGTGTGTGTGTGTGTGTGTGTGTGTGTGTGTGTGTGTGTGTGTGTGTGTGTGTGTGTGTGTGTGTGTGTGTGTGTGTGTGTGTGTGTGTGTGTGTGTGTTTCAGGCTCTTTGACTGCAGCCAGGAACGCCAACATGGAGCTGCAGGCGACTCTGGACCAGACCATGGAGGAGCTCAACTCATGCTGAACCCCCCCCCACTAACTGAACCCCCCCCCACTAACTGAACCCCCCTCCTGCTACCTGTCAGGTGGCGTTCAGGGCCAAACCCCCCCTCCTAATGATTCCTGCTTCCTCACATTCCTGAAGCCCCCCCCCCTCCCCTCGTAATGATTCCTGCTTCCTCCCCCCCACTAACAGAGCCCCCCCCCACCAGACGAGGAGGAGCTTTGTGTCTAAGGGAGTTCATTAATTGTTATTTTATTTTGCCACACTAATGAATGAATGCTTGTTGTTTGAGCCGACTTCCTGTCAGCCGATGGTTTATTATTTTGTGTCAGGTAGCCAATCGCTGCCATGATCGGTAGTCCGGGGGCCAATCAGAGACCTGATGAACAAAGGGCAGGAAGTGATGTCACAGCTCATTGTAATAAATCATGACAGGATTTTCTAAAATAAAAGCACTGGTCTGTCAAAGCGCCTCAGTTTTATTACGTCTTTGTTACACCATCAGGAAGGTTCCCTACAGAACCCATACACATCTGTTACACCATCAGGAAGGTTCCCTACAGAACCCATACACATCTGTTACACCATCAGGAAGGGTTCCTACAGAACCCATACACATCTGTTACACCATCAGGAAGGTTCCCTACAGAACCCATACACATCTGTTACACCATCAGGAAGGTTCCCTACAGAACCCATACACATCTGTTACACCATCAGGAAGGTTCCCTACAGAACCCATACACATCTGTTACACCATCAGGAAGGGTTCCTACAGAACCAGTACAGGGTCATCTGGAGGTCTGCGACGGGATGATGTCACCGCCTCCTCAGCCAGCTTCAGGATTGGCTGCAGCTGTTCGTCTAACGAGGGGGCGTCGGCCTCGTTAGTGATGATCCAATCAAATTCAACTCCACTGTCCAACCCGCATTCTGACTCAGCATCATCCACACCTGAGAGACAGACAGGTACACACACAGACAGTTAGACACACAGACAGTTAGACAAACAGACAGACAGGTAAGCAGACAGACAGATGCATGGTCAGGTGGTCTTACCTGTGCTGAAGCTCCACCCCCTCTGTTTTCGTGTTTTTTCTGAACTTTGAACTCGGACACTTTGAGTCTGTCGAGGAAACTCCGAGCAGAAAAACTGAAGATCAGTCTGACGGCGGGCATCACTCACCACCTGACCAATCAGAGAGCAGAGAGGGTCAACTGACCAATCAGAGAGCAGAGAGGGTCACCTGACCAACCAGAGAGCAGAGAGGGTCAACTGACCAACCAGAGAGCAGAGAGGGTCAACACAACCAATAATTGAGGGACATCACAGGGACGTACCCAGACAGGTTGGCAAGCTTCTCTGGTTGCTAGGCGACAGAAGAATCCGGGGTCGTCATGGCGCCGAGTTTCTCCCCAGCCAATCATATTGGCCCGATACTGCTCCTTGTAAGGACCCGGGCCCAGCAGCTGCTGCAGGTCCAGACCATGTTCCTGCAGAACCATCAGAACCATCAGAACCAGCCTGACTCAGCAGAACCATCAGAACCAGCCTGACTCAGCAGGTTATCGGCAGCCTCACCTCAGCGTACTGCTGTTTGAGCGGTCCAGAGAGACGCAGGATGCAGCAAACATCGGACCCTAAACTAAAGGAAGGACAGATCAGTCTCATTACACCGTGAATTAAAGATCAGTCTCATTACACCGTGAATTAAAGATCAGTCTCATCACACCGTGAATTAAAGATCAGTCTCATCACACTGTGAATTAAAGATCAGTCTCATCACACTGTGAATTAAAGATCAGTCTCATCACACCGTGAATTAAAGATCAGTCTCATCATACCGCACTGTGAATTAAAGTAAATATATAAGTCGTCATGAACACAGTTCTGTCCATCAGACAGAGGGCTGCTGTGCCTCTCCTTGACTCCTCTCTCCTCGGTACCCCTCCTTGACTCCTCTCTCCTCGGTTCCCCTCCTCGACTCTTCTCTCCTCCTCTGTCGCATCTCCTGTGGGCGGGACTAAAGGCCCTGACACAGGGCCATTTTAGCTGTTTAGGGGCCCTATGATGCTGTTTGGGGGCCCTATGATGCTGTTTGGGGGCCCTATGATGCTTTTTGGGGGCCCTATGATGCTGTTTGGGGGCCCTATGCAAGATGCTTTTTGGGGGCCCTATGCAAGATGCTTTTTGGGGGCCCTATGCAAGATGCTTTTTGGGGGCCCTATGCAAGATGCTTTTTGGGGGCCCTATGATGCTGTTTGGGGGCCCTATGCAAGATGCTTTTTGGGGGCCCTATGATGCTTTTTGGGGGCCCTATGCAAGATGCTTTTTGGGGGCCCTATGATGCCGTTTGGGGGCCCTATGATGCTTTTTGGGGGCCCTATGATGCTGTTTGGGGGCCCTATGATGCTTTTTGGGGGCCCTATGATGCTTTTTGGGGGCCCTATGATGCTGTTTGGGGGCCCTATGCAAGATGCTTTTTGGGGGCCCTATGATGCTGTTTGGGGGCCCCATGCAAGATGCTTTTTGGGGGCCCTATGATGCTGTTTGGGGGCCCTATGCAAGATGCTTTTTGGGGGCCCTATGATGCTTTTTGGGGGCCCTATGCAAGATGCTTTTTGGGGGCCCTATGATGCCGTTTGGGGGCCCTATGATGCTTTTTGGGGGCCCTATGATGCTGTTTGGGGGCCCTATGATGCTTTTTGGGGGCCCTATGATGCTGTTTGGGGGCCCTATGCAAGATGCTTTTTGGGGGCCCTATGATGCTTTTTGGGGGCCCTATGCAAGATGCTTTTTGGGGGCCCTATGATGCTGTTTGGGGGCCCTATGCAAGATGCTTTTTGGGGGCCCTATGATGCTGTTTGGGGGCCCTATGCAAGATGCTTTATGGGGGCCCTATGATGCTGTTTGGGGGCCCTATGCAAGATGCTTTATGGGGGCCCTGGGTTAGGGTTAGGGTTAGGCTTAGGGTTAGGACTGCGTGATAACACAGAGAAGAAGAACAGACTGCGTGATAACCGAGAGAAGAAGAACAGACTGCGTGATAACAGAGAAGAAGAACAGACTGCGTGATAACCGAGAGAAGAAGAACAGACTGCGTGATAACCGAGAGAAGAAGAACAGACTGCGTGATAACAGAGAGAAGAAGAACAGACTGCGTGATAACCGAGAGAAGAAGAACAGACTGCGTGATAACAGAGAGAAGAAGAACAGACTGCGTGATATAAGCAAACAACAAATAGCGTGCGTTCCATGTTCACTCTCGTCCATCACAGACGGTTTCACATAACGACTTATAATCGAAAACATGTTTAGTGCGGTACTGGAAAATGAAAAATAATAGCCGTCTGTGTGTGCCTTCTTCACTTCCGTTTCGCTTCTCATGCTCTGATTCGCTAAGCTGAACAGCGTGAAAAAGAGTGATTTCTTTGGCCGACAGCCTCGGGAGCGGAAGGTGTCGGCACGGCCGAAAAGACACGACGGTGCGGGACACACCAATCTGAGTAGGGCGACAGGACGCTCATCGACGGCCAGACATCTATCGACGGCCGGAATCGGCCCGGTGTGTCAGGGCCTTAAGACGCGAGGAGAGGATTCGAGGATAGGAGTCGAGGATAGGAGTCGAGGATAGGAGTCGAGGATAGGAGTCGAGGAGGGGAAATTAGAGAATTGGGAAACCTTCACAAGTTACCGGTCTTGGATCAGGTCCGTCACGTAATCCTTCCCAGACTTCCGTTTCCCGCTGAAGACCAGAACCAGTCTCGGCTCAGAGACCTCCATCCGTCTGCTGAAACAACAACAACAACAACAACAACAACAACAACAACAACAACATCATCATCATCATTGATAATAATAACCTGAAATATGAGGTAAACAGTGAAACTAAACAGCAACAAACACAGAGCAGTTATTAAGAGCAGAAATGATTGATGACGTCAGAGGAGAGGGATGAGAGGAATGACCCTGAACCTGATAACCTGATAACTCTGATCAGGAGAGCGTTAATATAAAGAAATAACAGATACACTCCGGTTAGTGTCAGGAGAGTGTTAATAATAAGAGATAAACTCCGGTTAGTGTCAGGAGAGCGTTAATATAAAGAAATAACAGATACACTCCGGTTAGTGTCAGGAGAGTGTTAATAATAAGAGATAAACTCCGGTTAGTGTCAGGAGAGCGTTAATATAAAGAAATAACAGATACACTCCGGTTAGTGTCAGGAGAGTGTTAATAATAAGAGATAAACTCCGGTTAGTGTCAGGAGAGCGTTAATATAAAGAAATAACAGATACACTCCGGTTAGTGTCAGGAGAGTGTTAATAATAAGAGATAAACTCCGGTTAGTGTCAGGAGAGTGTTAATAATAAGAGATAAACTCCGGTTAGTGTCAGGAGAGCGTTAATATAAAGAAATAACAGATACACTCCGGTTAGTGTCAGGAGAGTGTTAATAAGAGATAAACTCCGGTTAGTGTCAGGAGAGTGTTAATAATAAGAGATAAACTCCGGTTAGTGTCAGGAGAGTGTTAATAATAAGAGATAAACTCCGGTTAGTGTCAGGAGAGCGTTAATATAAAGAAATAACAGATAAACTCCGGTTAGTGTCAGGAGAGCGTTAGTAATAACACAAACTCACTCTCTCTCTCTCGGCTGTGGGACCTCCGGTTAGTGTCAGGAGAGCGTTAATATAAAGAATAACAGATACACTCTCTCTCGGCTGTCGGGACCACCCGTCGGTACCGTAATGTCGGGATAAACAGGAAGACTTCACAGAGAGTCTGACGGTTTATGGAGAAACACATGGAGAAACACGGTAAAGTCTCTGAAGTTCCTACCTTTTACTGTCATTACGGTAACACGTGATCCTCGGCACATTCTGGACTGAACCACTGCAGCTCAGAGGAAAGGGGAGAAACCTGTTGTGCCGAATGTGCCGAGGGTCACGTGTTACCGTCATTACCCCCTCTCTTTTCCATGTAGGTATGATCCGGGACAAAGGTCGCGCACTCCGAGATAACATGGCGGTCCCCCTCTTCTCCCTGTTGGTATGATCCGGGACAAAGGTCGCGCACTCCGAGATAACATGGCGGCCCCCCTCTTCTCCCTGTTGGTATGATCCGGGACAAAGGTCGCGCACTCAGAAACAACATGGCGGCCGCGACGTTTCTGAGGGAGAAACTTTTCAGATCCTTCAAAACTCAGAGGGTAAATATATCTTGATCTTTAATAATGTATAATATAACAACGAAAGGGTGAATATATCTTTATCTTTAATGTATAATATAACAATATAAACCATAAAATATGTATTAAATCTAATAAACATTAATAAATTACCCTGACTCTAGAAGGCTGTGATGGTGGGCTGTATGGATAAAGTTTGATTGAAGTGTGATGTCATCGTGGTGGGCTTTATGGATAAAGTTTGATTGAAGTGTGATGTCATCATGGTGGCTGTATGGATAAAGTTTGATTGAAGTGTGATGTCATCGTGGTGGGCTGTATGGATAAAGTTTGATTGAAGTGTGATGTCATCGTGGTGGGCTGTATGGATAAAGTTTGATTGAAGTGTGATGTCATCGTGGTGGGCTTTATGGATAAAGTTTGATTGAAGTGTGATGTCATCATGGTGGGCTGTATGGATAAAGTTTGATTGAAGTGTGATGTCATCGTGGTGGGCTGTATGGATAAAGTTTGATTGAAGTGTGATGTCATCGTGGTGGGCTTTATGGATAAAGTTTGATTGAAGTGTGATGTCATCATGGTGGGCTGTATGGATAAAGTTTGATTGAAGTGTGATGTCATCATGGTTAGGACATTAAGAAAAAAATGTTAAAGTAACCAATGTGATATCTTTTCATGGGGCCCAAAATCGCTGTCGGCGCCCCCTGTCGGCGCCCCTGTCGGCGCCCCTGTCGGCGCCCCTGTCGGCGCCCCTGTCGGCGCCCCTGTCGGCGCCCCCTGTCGGCGCCCCTGTCGATCCGAACATCCCTAATTATTACCGGACATTTTGACCGGCAGGTTTTGAATTTACCGGTCTTTAACCTGTTAAGCCCGAGAGACCCCGGTACCGGGGCACTGCCGCAACATCTTGCTGGAAACAGTGTCTGAGGGCATGTTCATTTAATAAAACTATGAATGTTTTATATCCATGTAACGGGAAGAAACTCATCTAACACTGAGCCTCTGAATTAGCAACGAGCGAAAAATGCTAACACCTTACTGCACCGAAAATCACTCACAAAACCTTATTATTTATCTTTTCACCACATCCAACACATCGTTTCACATCGTGAGGTGACACAGAATCTATTGACACTGACATTACCACTGAATTATACGTATTTGCGACGTTATAAGCAAAAACGGACATCAAAACAGGTGACGCTAGGTAGCTAAAAATGCTAACATTTTTACCTTGGCTCTGTAGTCTCTCCAAAGTGGTCTTCAATGGCATTAAAACGATAAAAACGCTGCTGAAGTTAATCCATAGGTTAATCCAATGTGTCTGTGTCCCTTTGAAATGATTTCTGATAATCCATAAGCATTAAAACTGCTTTTCCGTTTCCAGATGTCAAAGCTAGAGATAGGTCCACTCTGATGCAAAATTACATGCGCGAAGCCCCCACCTTTTCTCTTCACAACGTGTGTGTGTGGGGGAATCCCCCTTCGATTCTATTGGCTCTAACGGTCAGAAAGAGGTGTCAACCATCAAAATCGAGCAAGGGGAGCCAGAGATATGGAAAATCCACCCAAATGACCCCAGAAGTGGTTTCTTTTTGCTAATTCTCTCTAAAAAGGTCAAATGTCACTTGTTTTGCATCAATCTTGATACAGGGTACTTATATGTTGTACTTTGGATTCCTAAAGCTTTTAGTCTACTAACCCATCATCCAAGGGTAGTTTTCACTATAAGTAAAAAAGAATTTTTGGACGGACACTATAATTTACAGTTTCTTACTATGTAAAATCTGAATTTTCTTTAAAATAAAAAACATCTATATTGATTCTGACTTTTCTACATCCAACTCAGAGGTTTATCATTACTTTGAGAAAAAAGATTATTAATTTAACCCTTTTAGAAGTGAAGATATGGTCATTTGTTCTGGGAATGTCATTTAGAGCCTGAGACCTGAAAAACAGGCTCAGAGCTTAACAGGTTAATACATTTTACCAGCCAAAAAACGGTAATTACCGGCTAACGGAAAGCCTGCTGTTCAGGTGTATTTCTGACCTCCTGTGTTCTTCTGGTTTCTTCCAGTCATGGATCCACAGCTCGGGGGTCCTTCCCCAGACCGGACCCCCCCCCCAGGCCCGGTTCTTCCCTCCGGCTGAAGGCCCGATGCTGCCCACAGGAAGCTTCACCAACCGGGTGGCCTTCATCACGGGGGGGGGCACAGGGCTGGGCCGCGCCATGACCACAACGCTGTCCCAGCTGGGGGCGACGTGCATCATCGCCAGCAGGTTCTACTCATCTCTATTAGGGTTTTAACCTGTTAACCTGTTAAGCCCGAGAGACCCCGTTACCGGGGCCCTCCCAGGAAACAGTGTCTGAGGGCATGTTCATTTAATAAACTATGAATGTTTTATATCCATGTAACGGGAAGAAACTCATCTAACTGATCATTTTTTTTTTTTTTTTCAAAAAACCCCCCACAATGCTAACGCTGAGCCTCTGAATTAGCAACGAGCGAAAAATGCTAACAGATTACTGCACCGAAAATCACTCACAAAACCTTATTATTTATCCTTTCTGCACATCCAACCCATCGATCTGATCGTGAGATGACACAGGATCGATGGGTACATACATTATCACTCTATGATAAGAACTCGCGACTTTATAAACAAAAACAGACATCAAAACATGTGGCGCTAGGTAGCTAAAAACGCTAACATGGTTTACCTGTGTCGTTGTCTGGTCAAAAGTGGTCTTCAATGGCATTAAAACGATAAAAACGCTGCTGAAGTTAATCCATAGGTTAATGCAATGTGTCTGTGTCCCTTTGAAATGATTTCTGATAATCCATAAGCAATAAACCTGCTTTTCCGTTTCCAGATGGCAGAGCGAGAGATAGGTTCACTCTGATGCAAACCTGCATGCGCAAAGCCCCCACCTTTTCTTTTTACCATATATGTGTGTGTGGGGAAATTCCCCTTCGATTCTATTGGCTCTAACGGTCAGAAAGAGATGTCAATCACCAAAATCGACCAATGGGTTCCAGAGAAACGGTAAAACCCCCATTTACACCCAAATGACCCCAGAAGTGGTTTCTTTTTGCTAAATCTCTCTAAAAAGGTCAAATGTCACTTGTTTTGCATCAATCTTGATACAGGGTACTTATTATATGTTGTACTTTGGATTCCTAAAGCTTTTAGTCTACTAACCCATCATCCAAGGGTAGTTTTCACTATAAGTAAAAAAGAATTTTTGGACGGACACTATAATTTACAGTTTTTTACTATGTAAAATCTGAATTTTCTTTAAAATAAAAAACATCTATATTGATTCTGACTTTTCTACATCCAACTCACAGGTTTATCATTACTTTGAGAAAAAAGATTATTAATTTAACCCTTTTAGAAGGGAAGATATGGTCATTTGTTCTGGGAATGTCATTTTCGAGCCTGAGACCTGAAAAAGTCACCATGATGAAAATATATCTTTCATGTTTCAGGAAGTTAGACGTTCTGCAGCAAACAGCCGAGGAGATCAGCAGCCAGACCGGGAACAAGGTGAGAACCAGAACCTGAACATTCACCTGAACCAGAAGTAGAACCTTAACCAGAACCTTAACAAGAATATTAACCAGAATATTAACCAGAACATTAACCAGAACATTAACAAGAACATTAACAAGAACAGAGAAACACACCTCAGATGTTCCCACTTCCTGCCCCCCCCCCACAGAGAAACACACCTCAGATGTTCCCACTTCCTGCCCCCCCCCCCCCCTCAGGTCCATGCAGTGCAGTGTGACGTCAAAGACCCGGAGGCCGTCTCTCGATGTGTGGACCAGGTCGAGGCTCTGACGGGACTTCCTGATGTAAGACCACACACACACACACACAGTGAGGACCCTCAGTCCCTGTCGATGACATCACAGTGATCCTGTGTCCTGATTGGCCCACAGGTGGTAATCAACAACGCAGCAGGAAACTTCGTGTGTCCGTCAGAACGTCTGACGCCTAACGGCTGGAAGAGCATCACTGACATCGTTCTGAACGGAACCGCCTTTGTGACCCTGGAGCTGGGTCGCAGGCTGATCCAGAACCAGAAGGGCGCCTCCTTCCTGGCCATCACCACCATCTACGCAGAGTCTGGATCCGGCTTCGTGGCTCCCAGCGCCTCGGCCAAGGCAGGAGTCGAGGCGCTCTACAAGTCAGTTTGACCTTTGACCTTCTGGCTGATCATTCCTGACGTGTTGCCATGGTAACGTTGTTGTTATGTGTGCCAGGTCTCTGGCGGCGGAGTGGGGTCGCTATGGCCACCGGTTCAACATCATTCAACCCGGACCAATCAGAACCAAGGTACCCCTCTGTCTTGTTGTTTACCGGCTGTGTCTGTTGTTTGTTGTTTACCAGCTGTGTCTGTTTGCTGTGATCAGGGGGCCTTCAGCCGTCTGGACCCCACCGGAGCCTTCGAAAAGGCGATGATCGGTCGGATCCCCACGGGTCGCCTCGGGATGCCCGGAGAGATCGCTAACCTGGCGGCGTACATGAGCAGCGAGTTTGCCACCTGGATGTCCGGAGCTGTGAGTTCCACTCATCCCTGATCACAGTTTAGACTCATCCCTAATCACAGTTTAGACTCATCCCTGATCACAGTTTAGACTCATCCCTGATCACAGTTTAGACTCATCCCTAATCAAAGTTTAGACTCATCCCTAATCACGGTTTGGACTCATCCCTAATCACAGTTTAGACTCATCCCTAATCACAGTTTAGAATCATCCCTAATCACAGTTTAAACTCATCCCTAATCACGATTTAGCCTTAACCCTAATCACAGTTTAGACTCATCCCTAATCACAGTTTAGAATCATCCCTAATCACGATTTAGCCTTAACCCTAATCACAGTTTAGACTCATCCCTAATCACAGTTTAGAATCATCCCTAATCACGATTTAGCCTCAACCCTAATCACAGTTTAGACTCATCCCTAATCACAGTTTAGAATCATCCCTAATCCCAATTTAGCCTCAACCCTAATCACAGTTTAGACTCATCCCTAATCACAGTTTATACTCATCCCCAATCACGGTTTATACTCATCCCCAATCACGGTTTATACTCATCCCCAATCACGGTTTAGACTCATCCCTAATCAATGTTTAGACTCATCCCTAATCACAGTTTAGACTCATCCCTAATCACAGTTTAGACTCATCCCTGATCACAGTTTAAACTCATCCCTAATCACAGTTTAGACTCATCCCTGATCACAGTTTAAACTCATCCCTAATCACGATTTAGCCTCAACCCTAATCACAGTTTAGACTCATCCCTAATCACGGTTTAGACTGATCCCTAATCACAGTTTAGACTCATCCCTAATCACAGTTTAGACTCATCCCTAATCACGATTTAGACTCATCCCTAATCAGAGCTTAGACTGATCCCTGATCAGAGCTTAGACTGATCCCTGATCAGAGCTTAGACTGATCCCTGATCAGAGCTTAGACTGATCCCTGATCAGAGCTGAGACTGATCCCTGATCAGAGCTGAGACTGATCCCTGATCAGAGCTGAGACTGATCCCTGATCAGAGCTTAAACTGATCCCTGATCAGAGTTGATCCCAGGTCTTAAATATTAAGGAGTTATTACCTTTTGTTCAGGTGATCCGGCTGGACGGGGGGGAGTACGTGTCGATGGCCGGAGAGTTTAACGAGCTGCGGCGGGTCAGTGTTTCAGAATTATATTATATTATTATATATATAATAACATATACATATTATATAATAATAATAATAATTATTATTATTAGTAAATAATGAATGTTAATGAGGAGTGTTTGTGTGTCAGGTGACCCCGGAGCAGTGGAAGACGATGGAGGCGATGATCAGAGACACCAAAGGATCCTAAACACAGCGACCAGTCAGAGCGCAGAGTTCCTTCTGATGTCATCATTATGAGACGATGTTGATGTTTTGATACGATTGATCTTTTAGCTTGTAGCAGTCTTACTGCACATGCTCAGTGTGAACACTTATAAAACTCTTGCGTTTATTTTGGTTTAGATTTTTTTTGCAGTGTATAATGCCACACACACACACACACACTAGTTCACTTATCATTACTAACATCTGTGCTATTGTTAATTCATCTGCCGCTTGTAAATCGCAGCTGTCTGAATTTTATTAAAACGCGTCTGCAGTTTTTCTATTATTCATTTTTTGCCATTGTTGTGGAAATTCCACAATGAATCACCTTCTGGTTATAAATGAACAAATAAAGAACAAATAAAGAAGTTTAAACCAAAGTTGTGTTATTTAATGAAGAGTTAGAGCATTCAACAGATGAAAGCTATTCCATCTGGGGCTACAGCATCAAGTCGTTTATACAGAAACAAAATTAAAGTTTCTTTGCCATCCAAACATCTGGACTATTAGCAGACATGATGTGTTTGGGTTGGGGTTTCCAGTTTAGGAGTAGTTTGCACCAGAGGTGGGGACTCCAGTCACATGACTTGACTCGAGTCAGACTCGAGTCGCATATTTTGTGACTTGAGACTTGCTTGACTAACATTGATAAAAGACTTGACTTGACTTTGATTTGGTATTCATGACTTGAGACTTGACTTAAGCTTGAGACGGATGACTTGAAAGGACTTGACTTTTTAAAATTAAATATTTGCGTTTGTTTTTGTAGTGAGATATTACGTTTAGTTTTTTCGAAAAACGTGATTGGGTGATTATAGCGCCGTGCGCGCAAACCTGGCAACCCACTAGACGGCAGGAGTGTCAGTTAACATGGCAGCGGCTAGCGTTACTCCACAAATAGTGAAGTTTGGATTCAAGGATTATGTTGTTGATGATGCTAATAAGAAGAGAACAGCGGTATGCAGGGTCTGCAGCATAAAGATCAGTGACACGACCACCACAACATCCAACTTCATTCGTCACTACAAAAAAAACCCACGTGAAATGTGTTGTGTTAGCTAGAAAGCTAACGTTAAGTTTAAGCTACGTTAGACTTGGTTTCAAATCGATTAAGCAAAGAGAAGACAAAACGGTAAATGAACACTAGAACCGCCAAGGGATTCATTTTGACTAACCCTGATACTGACGGGCCGTAGAGAGAGAGAGAGAGAGAGAGAGAGAGAGAGAGAGAGAGAGAGAGAGAGAGAGAGAGAGAGAGAGAGAGAGAGAGAGAGAGAGAGAGAGAGAGAGAGAGAGAGAGAGAGAGAGAGAGAGAGAGAGAGAGAGACTCCTTTATTTCCCCTGTGTTATCAGAAGTTACTGTAAACTGTTGAATAATGTAGTTCATCTACTTTTAGTAGTTTGTTTAAATGTTTTAATTGTTTTTATTTGTAGAAGTGCATCATTCCTTGATTTATTGTAAAATGAATCTGAACTTTTTGATCTGTTCTGATGATAAACTGAAGCCATTTCTAAATTAACCCAATTAAGTGAGTTTTAAATCGTCCTACTTAGTTTATAAGGAAATGATGAAGAGGAACAAATGAAATGATTTGAAAATGATATCTATGTAGGTGCTGACGCTGTTGGCGGTTCTAGTGTTAACAGACATTTAAATTAAATATGTGTAATGGCAAATTCCATCTATGATTTTCTTACCTGGAATTCTGCCTTTTTGAACAGACTGTTTGAGTCCTAGCTATACTGAGTCCTAGCTATACTGAGTCCTAGCTATATTGAGTCCTAGCTATATTGAGTCCTAGCTATACTGAGTCCTAGCTATATTGAGTCCTAGCTATATTGAGTCCTAGCTATATTGAGTCCTAGCTATATTGAGTCCTAGCTATATTGAGTCCTAGCTATACTGAGTCCTAGCTATACTGAGTCCTAGCTATATTGAGTCCTAGCTATATTGAGTCCTAGCTATACTGAGTCCTAGCTATATTGAGTCCTAGCTATACTGAGTCCTAGCTATACTGAGTCCTAGCTATACTGAGTCCTAGCTATATTGAGTCCTAGCTATATTGAGTCCTAGCTATACTGAGTCCTAGCTATATTGAGTCCTAGCTATATTGAGTCCTAGCTATACTGAGTCCTAGCTATATTGAGTCCTAGCTATACTGAGTCCTAGCTATATTGTCTGCCGTTCTAGGGTTAATATGAATCTAATATGATTGTCATCGGTCTAAATTAGATTTCAAATGATTAACTGTGTATGTAATGAAGATCATAGTGTGGGTTAAATCCATTTTCATAACCACTGTCTTTTAACTGATTTAAATACGGAAACTGGGCTTACTCATCAGAGTTTCGTATGACTTGACTTGACTTGACTTGACTTGACTTGACCTGAGCAATGACTTGACTTGACTTGCTTGACTCTCACCACAGTGACTTGGGACTTGCTTGATACTTGTAGGTCAAGACTTGAGACTTGCTCATGACTTGCACATGTAGGAATTACTCCCACCTCTGGTTTGCACTGGCCTGAAGATCTGTGGGTGGGTGTGTGTGTTAGAATGTCATGGTGTTTTAGTTGGTTGTACCAGCTCCTGAATATCTCGCAGGCTGTGGTGGGGGTCCAGGTGAGGTGGTCTTCTTCTGTATTAAATTGGTCTTGAGGAATGGCTTTCAGTGTGGGAAAATGTTTGACTACTTGAGTATTGTGAGGGTCTGTTGCTGTAATGAGGGTGAGAAATGGAGAGAAGTTGATGAAGGAGAAGTAAACATCTGCATTAGGGTTAGTGTGTGATTGCTTAGACAGTTGTACAAATACTTGGACAGTTTATATGGGATTCTGGTTTTTATTGTGGAGACCAATTGAGAAAATGACCATGTCAGCTGGGTGGTAAGGTGGGGAATCCCAGCAGATTTGGAGGATGTGTTCGGTTTTAAATAAAAATGTTGAAAAGCAACCGAAACGTCCAGTGGATTTTTTACTGCGAGTCTGACACTGCTTCCCAGCCCCAAGCTCTACATGTGGCCAAGAATAAGAACTTTTGAGGTATCAAGTTACAGGACAAACTTTTGGGGATTTTGGCCACTACAGTAGCCATCTAGCTGGTGGGAGGGTAAGCGAATTATGCATCCTATGTACAAGGTTAACATTGAAAGTGTTGATAATATGTCAAAATGCGTCTCAATGTACATGTTACTCCAGCTGCCTATCAGTTTACTCCACTCAAATTGCGCAAAACTCGCGTTCCATGGACAGACGTGTAAAACACTCAAATTACAATAGATGGAGCTCTAGACTAATTTATAACATTTGTAAAAATGTTGTTAAGTCTGAAAAACATGCTATTATGGATGATAAATAGGTTAATATGGTAAACAAGGGCGCACAACCCCCAAACTTCGTGGGTGTGTTCCAACGGGTACAAAGTGTAAATATACCAAGTTTGATGGACCTGTGATGTCTGTAAATATTTGAATTAAAACAGTTTAATGAAGTTTGAGCACTAATATACCCATGCTTTTAACACTTTAGAGGGGTAAACATGTTATCTTTTCACTCTGGGTGTGTGAGACGAGTGAACCAACACTTAAAACCTCCGGAATTAAAACAGTTTAATGAAGTTTGAGCACTAATATACCCATGCTTTTAACACTTTAGCGGGGTAAACATGTTATCTTTTCACCCTGGCTCTCTGGCTCTCTGAGACCCTGCTAACAGCAGTGACTCTGCTGCCTGCGTTTAAACAGATTCACCCGTTTATAACATTACTTTAGCCCTGATCAGAGCCATGTTTTCTGGGTAACACAGCGAGGTGCTGTACCCTGGCTCTCTGGGTCTATGCGTCTCTGAGACCCTGCTAACAGCAGTGACTCTGCTGTTTTTAGCTTCTTGTACATTTAACAACATAAATATGATTGTGTTAGAGCCACAATGAAGTCAACGTTATTATTTAGATTCATAATTTGATAAATGAATTAATGATGTAAAATGATTTAAATTGCCATGGTGAATATCTTTTGATGAAATGATTGTTTATTTTAAATCGTAAATATGATCTGTTTCCTTGTACCTTCCGGTGTTTATTTAAGTGAGGCAATTGAGGACAGCCGTGGTGCTCTGAGACCTGATGAGACCTGATGAGACCTGATGAGACCTGATGAGACCTGATGAGACCTGAGACCTGATGAGACCTGATGAGACCTGATGAGACCTGAGACCTGATGAGACCTGATGAGACCTGATGAGACCTGATAGACCTGATGAGACCTAATGAGACCTGATGAGACCTGATAGACCTGATGAGACCTGATGAGACCTGATGAGACCTGATAGACCTGATGAGACCTGATGAGACCTGATGAGACCTGATAGACCTGATGAGACCTGATGAGACCTGATGAGACCTGATAGACCTGATGAGACCTGATGAGACCTGATGAGACCTGATGAGACCTGATGAGACCTGATAGACCTGATGAGACCTGATGAGACCTGATGAGACCTGATGAGACCTGATGAGACCTGAGACCTGATGAGACCTGATAGACCTGATGAGACCTGATGAGACCTGATGAGACCTGATGAGACCTGAGACCAGATGAGACCTGATAGACCTGATAGACCTGATGAGACCTGATAGACCTGATAGACCTGATAGACCTGATGAGACGGGGAGCGGAACACTTTTTCCACCGCAAATTGTAAACGAAATGAGTGTTGCAAATTGGACTGCAAAGTATAGTTTATATAGGAAAGTATATCGCCTAATTATTTAGTATTTTCAGACTATTTAAGTCAATACTTTTTTTGTTAATAAATTACATTTTTTGACTGAAAACCTTCGGCTGCTTATTGCTCTGGATTGCGTGTCGTCAACCCCGCTCTATAGAGGCAAAGGAAACCTTGGATGCCATTACATCAAGTCGAAAAACTCCGTAAGGAAGAGACACACACCTGTGGACACACCGGAGCTGACAGACTGGGCCGGTCGTGAGTCAATAAATGGAATAAATCCGTATACGCATTGAATGGAATGTCGGATGTGTTAAAGTCTAAGAGGAAATCATAACGGCGATGCACGCATTGGAGGAGGAATGTGAATACCTGTGGATCGTCTGTGGAAATAATGTGATTGAATTTGTTTGTGCAACAAAGGAAGCCAGTGGCGTGCTCTGTGAGACTCATTAAAGGAGCGCAACGTCTTTTACGCACGGCCTAAAAACAAATAAATAAATCATGTCGGACAATCCCAGGACTTCTGCTGACGCAGAAACATTGTTAAAATCACTCAAAGCCTCCCGCAGTGGGAAATTAGGAGCATGCACAAGGAAAATGAAGGAAATGAAGGCCTTGCTTGTGGATGATGGGAATGTGGAGCATGTG